GTCATAACAGCCAACATTTGTTGTAGAAAAGCATGAGGTACTTGGAACAAGTGGTGTGACCCATATGCATTCCCATTCGGTGAATATGATGTGTCTTGTCATTTCTCCCACAGATCACACAAGAACATGTCAATAAGGCGAAAAAGAAGGTCAGTGAAGAAATTGTTGCTGCATTTTTACGAAATTCTTCGCATAGCGTGAGTATTACAATAAGTGCAATAATTTATCAGTTAGCAGACTCAATAGCGCAGTAAAACCTTGAACATTGATGAACAGTTTCATCTATGTTTACCATATGGGGGATTATCCGTCGAGAGGGCGACCTGTTTTCATCACATTGAGCAATTCCATTTTATTTATTCAAGAAAACGTCAAGCTATTCGTCTTAAGTTTCCCAAACGTATTTAAAAAGCGAATTATGTTGTGACCATCACTAGATGAAATTTAATTACCTCAGTCGCAGAAAGAATCGGTAATTTTTAAGGAACAATATAAGAAAAATAGCTCTAACTAATAAATTACATCCATTAGATAATTTTAGAAATGGCTGAAAGCAGTTGCGCAGACCATGACCTTTGGACAACATCGGAAACATGTGCAATCAGATGTTTTTGCACTTTGATGGGTGAAAAAAGGGTTGGAAAGAAATCCCTTATTGAGTATTATGATTGTGGGGTTCATGTGGTATGACTTCTGTTTTGAGAAGAGTTGGAATTGTAGAATTAATTTTGTTGACTGCACGATTGCATTTTATTGAATTGAATTTCACGCATCGTCTAATGCATTTATATTCGAGGAGGCTATTCCTCAACTGTCATTATCTCCAGTATGAAAGTGCTATTCAACATATTAATACATTAAGAGTAAAAAATGGAAGAACTATTGTTTAACAGGCACGTTTTGCATATGCTCGTGTGTATAAATGGCCCTTAACAACAAAATATTGTAATTTGCTACGAATTGGTGACTTGGAAAATTGCAGTAGCAGCTGCGATGTATTTATTCATAACAGAGTGTTGAGGAAAACTTGCATTGCTGAATATGTCCAAATAAGGTTCGAATTGTTCCATCAATTTTGCTCACAAATTATCATTCCATCTTCAAAGCCCCCCGCCTTTTACTTTACTATTCTGCTATTCTCAAATGTGAAATTCCTCAGAATGAATCATCGACAATCAATGAATGATTTTAATCCATCTAATATTTCTTACATATGCATAAACTTAACATCTTCAATGAAGTGAATTGGAAATAGGTCTACGAGTAAACATTTCTGTTTGGGACAACTAACGCTTTTGTTCAGAGTTAACATTGTATATTTTGGTTGTTGCAACAAGCGATCAGAGGAAATCAAATCAAATTCACTGGCATCCACCTAATTAATGGCATTAATAATTAAGAATTCTTGATGAATCACCCAATGTTTTTCATCAGTTGATCATTCATAATAACTTCAATGAATTCCAAACCTTTTCATTCTTACTATTGCTAACAGTTTGGAAATTTACAACGTTTTTTTAAATTATTTTATCCAACTGCATAAATACCCGTTACAGGCATTGGCTTGTGCATAACCTAAGCTGATGATATTATTTTTAATGTGGAGATGTTTCAATTGTTCAGAGTGTTCCTGAACGAAAGAAACAGACAAAGCATCCAACACTTGATTCGGAAGACGAAGACGAAGAGGGAGGACACGAAGAACGTAAGTTCTAATTAAAATCAAAAGAAAACTTTTTTATTTGATGGTTGTAAATTTATGAAAAAAATTTGCCCTGAGATTTCTCTGCGGAAGTCCTTCACTTCGGACATTTTGTTGAGAAATTTATCGAATGTACCAGCTTTGAAATAGAATAAGTTGTTTTGTAAAATCGAATAATATCGATTTCTGATGGGAAATAATATCTTTTTAAAATAGAGATTAAAGGAAATGTACACATTGATAATGGACATTTAGGAGAGAATAGATCATGAAGTCATAACGAGTCCATTAAAGATCAAATTAAATTTTCTATGGAATTTGCTGACTTTCGTATGGCATTTTTTTGTACATGACAGAAAAAGGGGCATGTACTGAAAACAGTACAGCTGGCATGCAATATAATGATTTCCATACTCATATGATTATTGGGTTCCTTCTATATAGGTGCTCCTCCTCTCAGTGTCGATGAAACCTCAGACGACGAATCTGCTGATGTATCTACTTCAAAGGAGCTGCTTAAAATACAGCAAAATGAAATTGCAAAATTGAGAAAACAGCTACAAGAGGCTGAGGCCAAGTATAATGCCTTGACTGCAGTCCATGCTGCGTGTGATAACGGTAACACGAGTTTTATGAATTTTCAAAACAGTTTTTCCAAACTGACACAATACTGTTGATCGAAATTTGAACGGAAAAAATCATTCCGTGAATGTAACTCGAGGTTTGAAATTAATCAGAATATTTCCCTTACAATTCTTTGCGTACCGATGAGCTGATCAACTTTTCCAGAAAAATCACTTGTGCTTCGCGTCCATGATGTTTTAACCTGGACTACTCCACTTGCTCTTTTCTTTGTAACGAATCTGGCCGGAAATATTCGTTAAATTCACAGCTTTGGTGCTATTATATGTGATAAGTTTTATTCATGGTTCATTCATCGTGATGTGTTATTCATTTTTCTTCAATTGTTTCAGTCAACGATGAAAATATAGCTGATATTGAAATGGGAACAACCAAGAAAGATGTGATACACATTGGATACAATGTTTGGATTAAACAAACTTCATACGATCTTGTATGCAAAGCCGCTGAACCCAGCAAATTCATCAATAGACTGGCAGAATCAGTCTGGAGCGACCAGGAACTGGCAAGGTCCACTACAAGGAAGACAAAAGGTGTAGATCGTGTACTTTTTTCTCCAACGAAGAAAGCTGCTGTTTCAAAATGTTTCTCCAAATGGCTGAGAGATAAGTTTTCTGATGAAAAGGCAAAGATAGAGGAAGGAAAACTGAATTGTTACCTTAATCGTGTAACAGATGCAACACGAAAAAGGCTGGAAGCTCAATCAAGAGTTTGAACCAATGGGGCGTGTTTTTGTGCAGAGAAGTTTTGTGTTTTGCAGGGAAAGAGTTTCTTGTACTTGAATGGGTAATAAATGGTGGGAATTCTTTAAAAAAAGAGTTATTAATTATTACCTTACCAGTCGCTTAAAATATGTCGAAACCGGTCGAAATCGTACTAAATCTGACAGAATTTGTCAGATTACGATATATTTTGAAGCTATTTCATGATTTCTAATATTGTCGGACTGAAAATGATAAATTATGTCGAATTGATGATTTCTCATTAAATGTCCTAAAGGGTCCGAAAATGATAAAATATGAGATATTTTGTAGAATACAAGGGCAAAAAACATAAATTTTCATAATCGGAGAATTTATGACAGATTATTTTAAAATGGAAATAAAATTTTTTTAGAATCTATCATAAGTGGAGAAATTGTGACAGGTTCGGACAAAATCTGATAAAAAATGGCATCCTGCCTTCTTATTTGTCTGAGTAATCTGTCAGAATTTGTTATGTCACATAAGAAAAGATCATAATCTGATATATTATGGCGACAACTGACATCATCTGACATGTTATGACAAAAAACTACATTAAATGCTAGAAAGGGGTGGAAAACGGGCTGAGCAGTTGACATATTGTTACATATTATGACAAATTCTGAGATAATTCGTCAGATTCTGAGATATATATCCGAGAAATTCTGACATATTCTGACCAATGTGTTCCAAATCGCGGTCATTTTACGGCATTTTTTGGCATATCATCACTGATTATGACATGTTATCACAGATTCTGACATAATATAAGATTTTCTGATATATTTTTGACGAAAAAATTTGTCAGAATATGACAGAACTTACCATTTTTGGTCAAAATTTGTCAGAATCTGTCGACAAATTTTTACGAGGGAAGAGAGAAATAATTTCAATTCTCTTAGACTATTCTGTCATTTCTTCTTATACTCAGAGAATAAATAATCAACTTACAATCACACGTCATGGTATAGATTGGTATGAAAAAAAAGCGTCATCTAAAGATGTATATGCAGTATTACGGGCCTTTACCAAAGGAACCAAATATGTGTATACCTATGGTTGTCAACAAATGAAATTCACTGCCGCCCTTCTTACTCAAGATATTATCAATTTGAAGGGACAAATTCAATCGGCACTATTTGCTTCGACATGAGTGACTGTTCCCTCACACCTCCTACATAGTAGACTGAATCACAGAACCGAATATATGCGCGATACGTCGAGTCCTTCAAATCAGAGTGTCGTTGACTTCCAACGAGGCCGGATTGAAGAGGTCAAAACGAAGAGTAAGTTCCTACGGATGAATACGCTGCAGATTCCAGAAGCCCTAGATTATATACCAAATTTTAATCACAAGATGCCGGCGGTGTGGACGAAACTGGCTGCCATAATAGCGACTACACATGGCCATTCCTAACCAGGAGAACACTGGGTCGTCATGTACGTCGATCGAGATGATAGAGGATGGTAATTCGACAGCTTCAGACTACCTCCTCAGTATACTGCAAGGTTCCGAAAAAAACAGTAAACTCATCAGGGCCAGCATCCGACAGTTCCAGAATCAAAAGTCGAGTGTCTGTGCACAATACTGTATCCTTTTCCTTCATTGAATGTCTGTTTGCAACTCCTGAGAAGTTTCATTCATTATTGACTGATCGATTTATATCTAATGATTGTCTTGTCCGTGAATATCATGATGCTTTTATGGAGAAAAGACGTAGGAGTGCTTCCGAGACACATCTGTGATTCATGAGGTCATTACTTTCTGCGAAAATGTACATGCAATTACTAATTAAAATTTTGTGTTTTTATTTTCCCAGTAAAAGAAATACCCACAGCATTCAGAGTCACACCCATCCCTCGTGCCACTCAGATCGACGCATTGGTGGAGTCGGAGCGATAGTAGGTGGGGAACACCGTAGAGGTTTCCACACTACTGAGGCATGCGACTACATCGCAACAAGGAAGAAGGTTCAACTATTCTGGATACCTAGCACTGCAGGGTTTAAAGGCAACCGTGGAGCAGACCGACTTTGCGTCGGTCAGTGATGCTCTAATTCAGTTAGATCGCATAACTGTGATGTTTATGGCTGGTGGAGTAACTGAAACACTGTCACATAGCAGAATTAAAAAAAAATTGAGACTCACGAGAAATCCCACATGCTAACGCTCCAAGATTGATGCAGACCAGGCCCACCCTACGATCACGCGTTGTCAAGCCCTGAAAGATGTAAGATATGACATCTTCAGTATAGTGCCACTACGCACGAATTATACAGAGGATATCAAAAACATAAAGAGGTCATAAAAAACAACTATGTCAAGAACGGGCTTTCCAGAAACCATCATTGATTGGGTACAAAGTATGTTGGTGAGCCCGTCATTGACTGCCGATCACAATGGCATACAGATAGGAGGTCGCCCGAATGGTAGGTCTCCACAGGGCGGAGTTCTATCTCCACTACTGTGATGCCTCGTCGTGGACGAGCTCCTAGAACAGAGGTGGGCAACCTCAGCTCTCGGAGCTACTTCAGCTCCCGACCTCAATTAGGCTAAATTGTCTCAAGTCATAAAATTTATGGCTGCGCCCCCCTTCGGGCCCGTGATGCCCTGCGTGTAGGCAAGAGTAGAGGGGATATTCGGCATAAACTTGGTGGTGGGAAAAGTAAAATAAGAAAATTT